TATATATATTTGTACTCTGCAGTTTTTATTTGAAAATTCAGTAGTTTCCTATAAGTTTTAAAGTGCCTGTGACGTCAAATTTTTGTAATAAACATGAATGCATTTAACATGCTGCAAAACAAATTTCACGTTGCTGAGATGAACGGTTGTTGAGATATTTACATGTGAAGAAACAGGAAGTGATGTCAAAGGAAGTCAGCTTGTAAACAGAGCGTTGTAACAAAAGCTAACAACACAGACTGTAAAGACAAATCTGATGGGGTTTTTTACATTATTTTTAGTGGCTATCAAAGGGAGGCGAAGAAGAGTTAAAGTTTAAAGAAATTGTTTTAATTAACAGAGACCAGCAAGTTTATTTTATTAATGAATTCCCCTTTAATGTCACTTCCTGTTTCACTTTGGCTGAGCAAAAATCAAAGGAAAATAGGCCAGTTGTGTGACAAAACGGGTAAAATCGTGTGTATTATGCCAATTTTCTTAAGTATAAAGATGTTTTCTTTGACGTTTGTATTTGAAGGATARGCATGTCAAAGGCACCTATGCTTTTCTCACAGTAATCTGCATGTTTGTTTTTTCATTGCAAACATTTTATTACGCAGAGGTTTATGTCATCCCTGCCTGACAAAACAGATGTTTTTACAATCATAAAACATTGTTTATATTRTGTTTCCGTTTTTATTGTTCGTGCTTTTCAGTCCCCACGGCTCTCCGGGTGAGTGGGCCAACTAATAGCCTGGGTGTTGATGTTCATCCTTCCTTACTGAGCCCCTCCCACGTCTCCATTGGGCCTCAGGGTCAGGGGTATCGCACTGCTGATTTAGGAGACAGCCCCGGTAGGCCTCCTTCTTTACAGTGCTGTTTACCTTCTTCTTTTTTTTAATCCTGGGTTTTATTTTTTTAAGCATTCATTTTGTGTTTCTTTGACTCAGTATYGTCTGCTATGAACTCCGGCCCTCCAAAGAAGCGTCATCGCAGCTGGCATCCCAGCTCACTGGTCCCCGTCCCACCAACAGCTGTCCCCGTGCCCGCCATTCGACCAATCCCTTGCTCTCCAGGTTTGTTCCTGTTTCAGTCTGACTCCGCTGTTATGGTTCTTTCCCCCATGAGCTATTTTTCACCATGCGTGAGCGCACGCTTGTCTGTGACCCTGCGTGTAGCGTCTCTCTGCATCTCAGAAACACAGAGCATGGCCTCCCCTGCCATGGTTTCCCATCCCTCTGATGTGGAGGTGAGTTTGCCACTGATGTCGCTAAGGTTCTCTGGTTGTTAAGGATGATTCACTTAGTGTTGCCATAGAGATAAAGCTGGACAGCATGGTGCATTTTTTTTCTTTAACAATTGTACTAAGCTGTGCAGTTATAAGGCAACTCTAGTTATACAAATTCATTGTCCTAGTTTTCACCTTTTTTTATTTAAACCCTACTGTTGTCCTTGGGTCAAAATGACCCCTCAGGTCTCAGGAGACATTTTAAGCCAAGGACACCAGCAAGATTAAACATTTCACTGCGGTGAAGATGACATTCAAAACAAAACCACAAAGAATAGAAAGAATAGCAAAATAGAAAAAAATTAAATTACAAGTAAAAAAAATTACAAAATAAATACATCAAAGGAGAAAATACCATAAAGTTTTAGTACCAAAAATACATTTCAGTTAAATAAGAAGAAAAATAAAAATTACAACATGTAATAGAATTTGACTTTTCAAAAATTTTAGGGGTGCAACAATACAAAAAATTCACGATTCGGTTCGATATTCTAGTCTCACAGTTCGATTTGGTTTCGATACAAAAAAGAGAAATTTCCATGCCCTTTTTAACTTGTAATTTATTGAAATTAATGATGAACATTTGTTTAACTTCAAAAGTTCCGTTTTTTAAATTAAATGTTGCTGAAACATCAAGTTTCTCAGTGGATCTCCGCTCGAAAATGCAGCCCAGATTGAGTAGTCGAACACAGATCCACTGATCCTTCAACACAGAGCGTCTTCAGAAGGCGAGTTGATAAAATAAAGTTTAAAAAATATTTATTGTTCGATACAAGTGTGTATTGAACCTAAAGCACAGTATTGAATGGTTCGATACGGGTACATGCACCATATATATAT